CTGTCCTGTCCGGCTGCGGCCCGCGCTGGGAAGTGTGTGTGGCTTGGCTTCCAAGCTACACCATGTCGTTCCAGCTAGGTACTCAACTGCTGCATACTTGGGTCGTCAGCTGCCATGCCTACCTTACTACAGAAGCCTTCGAACAGGTAGTCAATCCGATCCTTCAAGCAATGGGAGAATGACCTGAGAATGCAGCTCACGGCCAAGGCATCTTTATCTGTCCCATATCGATTTTGACAACAAGCAGCAAACAATTTGACCCTTTTTGAAACTTGTGGGATTTGAGAGGTGCGCTGGCAGCATTACATAAGACACCTTATTCAGGCACGATACGTACTCCCATCTCTGAGTGGGCCCGTCTGACCGTCAGGAGCCTAACATGATTGAGGTGTGCTTAGGTGTGCTTGGGTGCCTCCAGTCCATTAATCGTACAGCGTTCCACCTCCAGAGTACTTCCCTAAGAGCCCCCAAAGATGCCCTGAAGCCAGGGTGAGGGCGTGAGTGAGCTCAGGCCGAAAGAAAAAAAAAAGATAAAAAAGTGGCCAGGGTGTGCCAGCCAGAGCCAAGGCGAACCCGCGCAGGCGACGGGACCAGGGGGCGCAACTGGCAAAGCAGAAAAAAATATTCACAAAATCCCACTTTGCCATTCTCTCCCCTTCCTTTCCCTTTCCTTTCCTCTCCTCCAGCCCACACAACAACACGCACCGTTGCACGCCAATCCCCCCCCCTCAGGGTGCCTCCTCCCGTTCCCTTTCTCCCCTCTTCCTCACGTTCTTCCCTATTTTTCTTCCTCGGGTCCCTATAGCCTCACGGCTCAAGCTCCAGCCAGTCGTCGTTGCTGTCGTCTGCCTCTGTGTCCTCGTTGTCACTGCACGTCTGTATTTGCATCTCGATTCCGACGCCGCTCTGAATCACGACTGCCCCGTCAGCCATCAACCATCGATTCACACGTCATCCGTCGACCAGCTTCAAAGCCAACATCCGACGCCAACTCTGTGGTATACCCAAGTATCCATATTCGACGTCAGAACATCAACACAAACGCCTTGCCGCCGATTGCGAATAAGCAGATCAACAAAGCTTCCTTTGCTGCAAAGAAAACACAAGACGTCGCCGGAATACCCACCCCCTGGTCAATCCACGGTTTCCGTCCACCTCAAAGCAACACACGTCAAGCTCTCGAGCCATCGCCATCTGCCTTTGTCTGTCTACCTCGACGACTTCGATTTCGACGACCACCTCTGATTTCTGAGCCCACTGAAGAAGAACCATCAATTCCACCCAAGAACGTCACCCTTCCGACCCCACCGGCACTACCTGCTCTTGATACACACTGTGACTTTGACTAGTTATGGCGTCCTCGCAATTGCAATTTGCCTACCGCACCCAGAAGGGCATCGGCCTGTTTGATGCTGCGCCGTCTTACCAGCCTCTCTCTGGGTTCGCCAATCCTGAAGGGAACCTCCGGTGTTGTGCATACTCGCCCTGTGGCCGTTACTTTGCCTGGGCGAGCCCCGAAGTTGTTACCGTTGTCGACGCTTCCACCGGCCAGCAGGTTCTTGCCCTCCCCGTCCTCAATGTCTACGAGCTCGGTTTCTCCCCTCTCGGTACCTTCCTTGTCACCTGGGAGCGGCCTGCCAAGGACGAGAACGGAGATGCGACCAAGAACTTGAAGGTCTGGCGTACTGTTGAAGATGGCGTTGCTGGAGCCGACAAGCTGCCTTTGGGCAAGTACGTCCAAAAGTCACAAGGAGGCTGGAACCTTCAGTACACAGCCGACGAGAGGTTCTGTGCCCGCCAAGTCACCAACGAAGTCCAGTTCTACGAAAGTCATGATCTCGGCACCGTCTGGAACAAGCTGAGAGTTGAGGGTGTCGCTGACTTTGCCCTGGCTCCCGGCCGTTCCCACTCCGTTGCTGTCTTCATCCCCGAACGCAAGGTGAGCAATCTTTGCATCACCCCATTGAGCTTATCAACATGCTAATAAATACTTCTCAGGGACAACCCGCTGCCGTCAAGGTCTACAACGTGCCCCAGTTCAATGCCCCCATTTCCCAAAAGACCTTCTTCAAGGGCGACAAGGTCCAGCTCAAGTGGAACCAGTTGGGAACCAGCATTCTCGTTCTGGCCCAGACCGATGTCGACAAGTCCAACAAGAGTTACTACGGCGAGACCACGCTGTACCTGCTTAGTGTCAATGGCTCTTTTGACGCCCGCGTCAGCCTTGATAAGGAGGGTCCTATTCATGATGTGACATGGTCCCCCAACTCCAAGGAGTTTGGTGTTGTCTATGGATACATGCCTGCGAAGACTACCATCTTCAACCACCGCGCTGTTGCCCAGCACTCGTTCCCCCTGGGACCTCGCAACACCATTATCTTCTCGCCCACGGGACGATTTGCCCTTGTTGCTGGATTTGGAAATCTGGCTGGCCAGATCGATGTCATTGATCTCGAGAAAGATTTCCGCAAGCTCCACACCATTGAGAGTGGTAACCCCAGCGTCTGCACGTGGAGTCCCGACAGCCGTTATATTATGACGGCCACCACTTCTCCACGTCTTCGTGTCGACAACGGCATCAAGCTTTGGCATGTCAGTGGTCCTCTCATGTACAACGAGGACAAGGTTGAGCTTTACCATGTTGTCTGGAGGCCCCTCGCTGCTGAAAAGGTTGCGGGCGGAGATCCCCTGAATCCGGTTCCCACCCCCCACGCCTCCGCGGCCACTTACTTGGGCACCGTAAAGACGCCCAGCAAGCCCGCTGGAGCTTACCGCCCCCCTGGTGCTCGTGGTCTCGCCACCCCGCTTCATTTCAAGCGAGAGGACGAGGGCGGCGCGGCTCACATCAGCATGAACAACGGATCTGCGCCCATTGGACCTAATGGGTTTGGGCGCCCCCGTCGTGGTGTGCCTGGTGCAGAGTTTGCGGTCCCTGGTGCTGCTCCTAAGGTTCCCGGAGCCGACCCTAACGACGATGAAAACTTGTCAAAGGCGGCGCTTAAGAACAAGAAGAAGCGCAACAACAGAAACAAAAAGGACGGCGAAATCAACCCCGAGGGCCAGAACGGCGGTGGTGCCTCGCTCGCCCCGCCTCCCCGTGACTTCGGCGCGGGATCTGGTCATGAGGGTCGCAGCCCTGAGCGCCGCGGCGGTGCCGGAGGTAACCACAGACACCGTAGCCACTCTCGTAACCCCGGTGCGGGTCAGCATCGTAACAGGAGCAACACTCACCGAGGCCAGAATGGCGCGCCGCAGGTGCCTAACGCGCAGCCTCAGCAGGCCGCACCGGTGACTGTGACTAGCCCCGGCGCCGATAACTCGCAAAACCCGAATGCGAAGAAGATTCGCAGCTTGCAGAAGAAGGTCCGCGCGATTGAGGATCTCGAGATGAGACTGGCCGGAGGCGAGAAGCTTGAGGACACGCAGATGAAGAAGATCGGCACCAAGTCCTCTGTGCTCAAGGAGTTGGTTGGTCTTGGTGGCGAGGGTCACTAAGTTCATCGCTAACGCCCAGCGAAAAAAGACCAAGGATGCGAAAACTTCTGTAGGACAAAGGGGCCACCTAATGGATACTGGAATACTGAAGGGACCACAGCCCGAATGATACAGGTCTCTGGGATCCCTGGCATTTGGACGAGTAGAATCAGGATTACGTGTGTAGAGGATCAGGAAAATGGAAAATGCAAAAATGCAAATAGCACGACGCTTACACTTCGTACTGATTTAATGCGCTCCTTTGGATCACCAGCATGTGACATTTATTCATCAGCAAATTCTTCAAGGAAGGGAGTAACGCCTACGGTTCATGGCGGAACTAAGAGCCCCCGGCTGAATGCGCGGATGTCAGGCTGACGATGACCATCCGAGAATATTGAACCTTATGGGTGAGAAGCGAGCTTGGAAAACCTGGAAATCTGGGGTATACTATCCGTAGGACGAAGCTATGTAGGTGTCGATATCCTAGTGATTTGTGGGAGGAAAGTAAGTCCGTAGTCTCATGCTACGACGACTTGGAGCCCAGGATTGACTGTAACTCAATGACCGGTGAGCTCGGGTAGGATGGCGGGGACCATCGTATTGAGAACCTAATTTTCCTTCGAATGGTGGCTACCAACGCGAAGTATCTGCCACAAATATGAAATATTCATTACACCCCATCGTCCATTTGCCTTTCTTGACGAACTTATCATGCTCTCCTGCTTCTCTTGCTCGTTCGATTTTCAGCTCCGGCATGCGAAGTTGACGACGAAGAGGCTCGGGTACGCGTATTCATAAGGCAGGAGATAGAGGCGAGCTAAGCTAGCGTTGGGCGGGGTGGAGAGGAGCCGGACTGATCGGCACGGCAGCCCGGGCGTTTTGTGGGGGGGCATGCTGACTAAATCGGGATCGTGGACTGGGGTCTTGTGTTGACATCGCGACAAGAAGGACTACCTACTGTCGACCCTTGTTTGCTCTCTAAATACCCAGATGATATGTAGATAATTGAAACTATCAAACTATATGATAGCGAGCATGAAGTTCTAGTATTGAATATGCCGAATTCTTCATCCCTATGAGAAATTTGTGAATATGGAAGCCAGGGGTGCTACTTATACCCCCTCAGCGTCATTCCTGTCACCAGCGTCCACTCCCAAGTGTTCAATGCTTCAACATTGAGCATTTGGCCGAGTGGTATCGGCTCTGACGCAGAGCCGATATAAAACAAATACTCCAATGACTCCCGCGCTGGGTCGAGGGGCGCGCTGTTCGAATCCGGACAGGGGCGTGAAAAATAAGGTCAGTATCCCCCCTCCCTTCCTTCCTTTTTTTCTTTTTTGGCATTACCTACGAGTAGGCAAGGGAAGGTACGCTTAGCAACTCATTTCCATCACACCGCCTTGAATACGGATGGTAATCGTGAAGATGTTATCACGAGGACTTGATTATCAACGAACCCGATTCCGATCGGCTATCACCTTCGATCGTACTGCGCTACTCATGATGACGCTAACTATTATGCTTCAAAAACGCTGGCGTTTTGCGCTCGCCTCACCACCATCATCAGATGACCCGTGACCCCTCCCACCCCCATCCCGTTGCCCCTTCAAAATAGCAGCCATCTCATTCTGCCTCCGCAACAGCACAACATCATACCCCCTCAACCTCCTCTCCGAAGCCTTCTCCATCCGGAACTTCTGCATCCTCACCCCCAGCACACTCCGAATCTTACGCACAGTCTGGTACTCGGCCAGCTCATTGCTAGAAAGAGACTCCTGCCCGCCCAAAAGATTCCTCCTCGCCCTCTTGATCCTCAAATAAAACTTGACAAGCGGCAGCGCAACCTCCATGTTCTCCACGATCCACGCCACATTCTCTTTCGTTGCGCCCATTGTGCCAAACACCTCGTCGACGCACGACGCCATGTCCTCGTACCGCGCCGCCGTCTTCCTGTTCTCCCTGTCGAGCGGCTTCACGTCCTTGAGAACGTCGAGCCTCATGGTGGGCGGGAGCTGGTAGTCGATGTCTTCGAAGCGGCCGTACATTTCGAGCTCGCGCACGTCGGCTTCCTTTTTCGCGATGGCGATGGGGTCGCGTTTGGGGTTTGGCGTTGCTGCGAAAGCGGTGTGGACTGCGAGGCTGCGGTTGTGGGAGACTACGTCGGCGAGGGCGCTCGTCTTTTCGAGGAGGGTTTCGACTTCGTCTTCATTTTTTGGTAGTGAGATGATTTTGGTGGGATGTGTTGGTCTGTCGTTGAAGTTGATGGAAGCCAGTGGCGTCTTGCAGCAGGTGTCTGCCGGTGCTGCTTCAGGTCTTGATCTCTTGCGACTCGCCGCCATTGTTTTCGTGATTGACTCTGCCATGTCTGGAATACTTTTGTTTTGCCGCGCGGATTACTATGTGCGGAGAAAGAAAATGGAGAGTTGAGGCTATCTTGGGGGAGAATGTAACCATAAGGGTAACGCGCGGATCTCAAGGGAGGGTGAGAGTGAGATAAAGTGTCTCGGCATCGCACGTGTCCAACCTTCTTCGTCTGATGGCTATTACGGGCGGGGGAAGCTAAACGCAAACAAACCCGGGGCCTTTAGCACCACCATAGAATGATCGCTGAAACGTTCCCGAAGGGTGGGACACAATGGGTTGGAAACATTGTTTAAGCGCAGTGACTCGGATTCTGTAGGGCTTGGCGCTGTTCCTCGGTTTCGCGATGATCATGAGTCGGTCTTTGCCCGACGGAAACTGTCATTGCCCCCAGTCGCTGGTTGGTGCGCAGGAGCTGCCTTTGTCTTTGCCACTGCTATGCTGGGTCCATTATTCGTCTTCTTTTGCCTCTATTATCTTTCATGAAATAGGGGTTGGCCTCACTCTCACAGCGATTTGCTTCATGCGTGTTCTGGAAATGTCTTCTAATATATCTCTTTATTAAGTATCGGAGACTTTCAGCTATCAAGACTGTTCCGACGCTACGAGCCCCTCGGCTCAAATACCAAACTTTCTCACCAATTGGTTGTATCAAGAGTCTCAGGTCCTGTCTATTCAGACCTAGGGACTTCTATCCATTCTCTTCGCCATCTTGCTCATTCTCCTCATCCGCTTCCCCATCTGTCTGAGTTGTCTATCTGCCAGCTCCCGCTCCTCGCTAGTGAACTGACCACGGGATTTATCGACGGAGTCAAAAAGCTCCTCGAGAGCCGCAACACAGTTGTGTTTCTCCTTAGGCGCTTTGACTGGCTCGATAGTCGCCACGGTACGGATGGGCGAGAGATCGAGTGGCGACGGACGTTCTAGCAAAGGCTTGGGCGATTCCTTGCGTTCAAAAAGACGACGAACTCGACGTCTTCCCATCGAAAGCGGTTCTTGATCGTCGCTATCCGAGTCGATCAAGATCACACAACGATCACGATGTCTTCTCACCAAGAGAGGTTCCTGATCGTTGCTGTCCGAGTCAATTAAGATCGTAGATGTGTATCCGCCGCTTTGAGGAGGTGTAATGGGCGTAGTAGCTGGCCGCCGTGGAAGAATCGCTGACTTCGCATGGGGCCTTCGGCGGCGCACAACGACGTCGTCATCGGAGCTTTCGACGTCGTAGACGGACTGCTGATGCTTCACTCTCTTCGGTGTAATGACTTGGCTCAAGGGACTGTTTGCCTTTCTTTTCTTGCTTCGATTGGGGCTTTCTGCGACGACAAGGACGTCTTCGGTGTCCTCCTCCATGTCGTGCTGTTCGTCCATTCCGCACTGCTGTAGGGAGCGGGAAAGAATTCGGACATCTCAGTCCTCGTCGACAGAGTCTTCTTCTCTGCTTTGAACGAGTGTGCTCTCACTCTCGTCGTCGTCGATCTCGTTGAACGGATATAGGCGGGCAGCGTCTTTGCGCCAAGTTCTAAGGACGTCGCTAGCCTTGAATCTGCTAACCTTCCAATAATTGTCCTTAAGCAAAGGATACATCTCTGGGAGAAGTACAGACGTGGCTATGCTGGCGTTGTCTCCATTCCACTAGAAGGAAGGCGCTGTCGGCATCAAGTGAGCTGCATAGCATTCGGATATGAGATCTTGATCGTTGTTGTTCAGTAGCTGAGTCGCGAGCCGGGGACACTGGGGGTTCCATTGGTCGATTGCATTAGTCAAGGCTACGAAGGCAAGCTGCCGATGTAAAGTGGCACGGTTGCCTCTCTCCACGTTGAAGCTATCCATCCTTTAGGCGTGCCGCGTATCAGCACGGCTGAAACTCGAGATTGGATGTTGTGAGATTTTTGACTTAATTGAGTACGTGAATGTAATCCACCAAAGCCGCTCAATGCATTTTCGGAGTGAAGCTGAACGAGAATTGTAATGACCAAGGAGCTGAAGAAATACGTAATAGCCGAGTTGAGTTTGAGCGACACCCAAAACGACTCCTACGGTACGTTCTTGCCTGAAACTGAGGATAGAATCGGTCCAATTCCGCAATGGGCGGAGCTGGAAAGTCCTGGATTAAGAACAGATTAGGGTCGTTAAAAATATCAGAGCAAGATTCGTGGGGAGAAGATCGTAAGCCTAAAGAGCGAGGGCTACCGCCAAGTGAGTGAGTGAGTTGAAGAAATGGGGGAGAATCGCGAACCGTTTTATTTTCTGAAGCCGAAAAGCAAAGAAAAACCTAATCTGTCGTTCGATTTTCTCTTTCCTATACCTCACCTTCTGGAAAGGAAGGAATGGTGGTTTCGTGCGAGTCCTGCCTTCCTTCAACCTGAGAGGCCGAGATACCTCGGGATCTTGACCCTTTGGGTACGTACCTTTCTCTAAGTTCATCACCAAGCCTACCGGCCCTCGGTGAAGCAAGGTGTGTCATTATTCCAAGGGAAATATGTGGCGGTAGTTGTCATGAAGGGAGCAAAAAGTGGAGGCCCTTAGAAGCACTGTCTTTGACATGACACGCTTTCCAATCACATCCTGCACCATGATTTAATAGGGCAATAATAAAAGTGGTTTAGGCGCTGTCTTCAAGGAATTGCTTAGCAATCGGCCATTGGCTTCTGGGTTGGTCTTTGTTTCTAATTTGAGTTTAAGGGGCTGTTGCTTTGTCTCTACATTCTAAATTTCTCCTCTAGTACTTGTGTCACTATCTACATCTATTTTCTCTGCTTTTTCTTTCCAACATCCTCATATCTCTTAAGTCAAACCCTCCACTTCCTGGCACCCCCCTGTTTCTGGCACCCACAAAAACGCGAAAATCCACCACAACCCAATGCCCACCCCCAACCTCCTTTTATCACAACATTTTCAATTCGCGTCCAAATGGGCTCATCTTTTGCACATACCTTCTTCTATATCTAATGCCTCAATATACCGAAGATCAGCTTCGTCAGGCTCTCGAGGACATCTCAAACGGCAAGAGTCAAAAGAGAGCCTCATTGGAGTATGGGATACCACGATCAACCCTCCAACTACGTCTCCAAGGTGGTCAGACTAGGAAAGTGGCTTTTGCTGACTGGCAGAGGCTGTCTCCTGACCAGGAGAGTAAGCTGGCACAATGGGTTCGCATTCAGGCTTCGCTGGGCCTCGCACCAACGCACCAACAGGTGAAGGAATTCGCAGAGCGAGTTCTGGCTGCTGCTGGGGATACCAAACCACTGGGAAAAGGCTGGATCTATGCCTTTGTGAGAAGGAACCCTATCATTAAGGTTCAGAGAAGTCGTTCTATCGATTCTAGACGCGTTAATGGGGCATCTACTGAGGTCATTAGGAACTGGTTTAAGTTCCTCGCTATCCCTGAGATCAAGGACATCAAACCAGCCAACAGATATAATATGGATGAGACTGGCATCCTCGAGGGTCAGGGAGCTAATGGGTTAGTGCTGGGTATGGCTGAGACGACGTCTGTGCGCAAGAAACAACCTGGGTCGAGGGCATGGGTCTCTATCATTGAGTGTATCTCAGCCTTGGGTAGGGCACTTCGTCCTCTTATCATTTTCAAGGGGAAGACAGTCCAACAGCAGTGGTTTCCATTACATCTCGTTCCATACGATGGGTGGGAGTTCACAGCAACAGATAATGGCTGGACTACAGACTTAACTGCCATTGAATGGTTAGAGAAGGTGTTCATCCCACAGACTATGCCTGAGGCTGAGGGGGAGGCTCGACTGCTGATTGTGGATGGGCATGGGAGTCATACGACGACAGACTTCATGTGGAATTGCTATATTAACAATATCCATTTACTGTTCTTACCACCACACTCCTCTCATGTCCTCCAGCCTCTTGACCAGTCTGTCTTCAGCCCTGTTAAGTCAGCCTATCGGAAGGAGCTCGGTTACTTGTCTCAATGGAACGACTCTACCATTATAGGTAAAAGGAACTTCCTGGACTGTTACCAGAAGGCTCGACTTGCTGGTCTATCAGTCTCGAACATCAGAAGTGGTTGGAAGTGGACTGGTCTACACCCTGTGGCGATGGTTAAGCCCCTGATGAACCCTATGGTACTACCTGAGCCTCCTGTTAAGCCCACCACACCCAAACCAACTAGTCAGGGCAGAAAGCGATGCCATAATGGTCAACAAACTACCCCTGTTGAGCCATGGGATTCTGCCTCCTCTGCAGTGGTCTGGTCGACACCCAGGAAGCTGGCAGAGCTCAGCGGTCAACTGCACTTATACACCCAACTCGACAATGATACCAGCACTCAACGGCTGCTATTCAGGAAGGTGAAAAAAGGCTTCACAGAGCAGGCCTGGCAACTGGCAGCTGCCCAGCAGCAACTAGCTCACCTGAGGGCTCAAGTTACCAACGCTGCAGTGAGGAAGAGGAAGACTGTTCAAATCGATCCCAACACGAAGTTCGCGAACATCAGGGATATCCATCGGGCTCAAATCGAAGCGGGTGAAAAGGAGGTTATCACGGCTGAATCCAGCGACTCTGAATGCCCTAGTGAGGCTGGCAGCTGTATTGTAGTGGGTGTGGTTGAGGATCAATAGTTAATAGTAATGAGGAGGTCGGGTTGTGATCCCATCGTTTTTGTGGTGCCAGAAACAGGGGGGTGCCAGGAAGTGGGGGGTTTGACTTATCCGGACATCATGGCATTCTACAGTTTCCGAGACGACTACAGTGATGGGGCGCATCCGGAAATCTTAGCAGCACTTACAAATGGCAATACAAGCATCCAAACATCGTACGGCGAAGATGATCACACAGAGAACGCACGAAACCTCATCAAGGAGAAGATGAAGGCACCCGACGCCGATGTGCACTTTGTTGTGAGCGGGACACTAGCCAACATCGTGGCTATCGGCAGCTGCTTGCGACCCCACGAAGCCGTCATCGCAGTCAGCTCTGGGCACATTGTCGTCCGCGAAACCGGTGCCATCGAGGCATTGGGCCACAAGATCATCACTGTGCCGCCAGTCGAAGGCAAATTGACAGTAGCCGGGATCAAGCAGGCACTGAGAGACAACTCGCACTACCCGCACATGGCGAAGCCCCGTCTCGTGTATATCTCCAATGCCACGGAAGTCGGCACGCTGTACACCAAGGCAGAGCTGAGTGAGATCGCCGAAATCTGCAAGCAGCACAAGCTCATCTTGTACCTCGACGGTGCACGTCTGGGCGCAGCGCTCTCTGCGGAGGAGAATGATCTGACGCTCGAGGAAATTGGCCGCCTGACGGATATTTTCTGGATTGGCGGTACCAAAGTTGGCGCACTTTTAGGCGAGGCCATCGTCATCAACAATCCCGTGTTGCAGGAAGATTTCAGATTTCATCTCAAGCAGCGAGGTGGTCTTTTGGCAAAGGGACGAGTATTGGGACTCCAGTTTGAAGCTCTCTTCGGTTCAAACCTCTTCTTCGAGCTCGCTTCCAATGCCAACATCACGGCAAAGGCCCTCTCGACTGGCATAGAACGAGCTGGCTATGCGCTGGCACACAAAACCATCACCAATCAAGTCTTTGCAATTTTTTCAGACGAGGTCATCGCGAAGCTTGAGAGCGCGTCTTCTTTCTATGTTTGGGAAAAGCTGGGTAACGGTACTTCGGTAATACGGCTCGTCACATCGTGGGCAACACAGTCGCAAGATGTTGAGGGCTTTCTTGCCATGCTGTAGAATGCAGACATTCAGTCTCTCCAAAATACCCCAGTTTGGATCAATATAGCTCCAATTAAACGCACTTCCATGAGCAAACTTTTGCAGATGTGCGCCAAATCAAACACAGGTCTAGGGCAAAGCTAATTTGGATGGAGGGGTAATGACACAAGAAAAGGAGTGATGACAAATCTTCTCTCTGCATCCCACCGGCATTTGGCGCAAATGTAGATGTGTGATTGGTAAGCAGATTCTCCGGTCCGTTGGAAGGCAGGCTGGCCATCACTTTTGTCACACCAACCAAGTCACTGCCCGATACCGGGATAATAAGGACTTCAAAAACACGAATAATTCCTGAAAGTCTGAACTCGGCCCAAGAATAGAGATTTACGCATATAAACCTCTTAATGTCGTACACGTACGCAGTATGAGTCTAACAGACCTTTGAGAAGTATTTCGAGAGCAGCGATGTAATCCTAATAAGCCACTTAGAAAGCTTTTGCCGCTTGCGATCTTCAATGGCATTTGTCGTTGGGTAGAAAGCTGTGAGAAGGCTGTATGTCATGATATAGACGGAACCTTGAAGCGTCTCTGCTAACTCATTGTGGCGGAAGTTTCCTAGAACATCTCTCGATTAGGGCCGAGTTATGAGAAGAATAGTAAGTTAGATATTTTCTCCGTGCCGCGGACTTTGGCCCATCAGCAGACTATTATGATGTTGTCACGGACTGTATTGCCATACATCCCTTTCGCCACTAGCCTTGATCAAAATCCAGTCGGCAGCATTGCTGGCTACTATTTTCGCTCACATCTGCATGCCAGGGCCCAGCGCTTCACAGTTGTGTAGAAGACAAATCTCCACCATTTACCACACTTCAAGCGGCGCAAGCCATGTTGTTGTTGTTGTTGTTGTTGTTCTATTTAACGCCATGGCGGCAAGGGCGCAGCCGCCCTTGCGGCAGACCTCCCGAAGGGTATGTGGCGTGAAGGGTCGCAGGCTCTAGCTATATACTATATAGTACACGCCGTATCCTGACGTCCTCCAAATCTTGCTCGTGAGCTACTATGTGTTCTATCCATCCCTAGTTCCCACTGGTGCCCTAGTTCCGTTATAACCATCTGGTTTCTTAATAGGATGATATTGCCGTGGATAGCAAAGTTGCCATTGTCATCATCAAGGTCTTCGTTAGCGAGGATAATAACGAATCCCAATTGTGAGGTAAGATCGCTATTATTAGCGAATGAACCGTCGACGAATATGAAGAGTTTAGCAGTTGATAAGTCGAGTGGGATGAAGTGCAGCCCGCGGTCAAGCGAGTCCATCTGCCATTTGAGGCGACGGTTGAGCGCCTTGATATTCTCATCATTGGGCTCTTTGTGCTGGGCCGCGGTCGATAGGTCGAAGCATGCTTCCGGTTGGCAGATCGAAGCAATATACGCGCCGCGGGCGCGTTGCTGGACGTAATCCTGCTGGGCAGTGGGTGAAGTTGCGTCGATGAGTTGCAGCTTCGTACCCTGTCCCTTCTGGATGAGGGTGATAGATGTATCAGTTGCTGAGGTTAGTGATACGATACCTCCGTTGAAGACGAGCTGCTCTGTAGCAGTGAGAAAAGCTTTTTCCTTGGCGGAGAATTTCGCCTTGGCGAGCTCGTTGTTCTCTCGTTCGGAAAATCGTGTGTCCGTGAGTCCGATAGTGTCGTCTGTTTGCATACCGATGAGGGCGAAGTCTGGGTTTTCGTCGGATGACAACAGAAGGCAAGGGTCGTATGAAGTAGTCATCATCTGGAGATTCTCTCTGTGATGGCGACTATACGTTGCCCACCAGTGGGTGCCTGCCTCTGCGAGTCCGTATAATGGCTTAACGACCTTCATGATGGTGCCGTTAGGGTAGTTGCGACGTATCTCGTTGGGTATGCGCGCGTAGATGCTGCGATTTAGCTGCGAGGTGGATTGAACGTACGCCTGCGTGATGTCACGGAGCCATAGTTGCTTCCCGTCGCGTAGTAGGGTGGGTGTGAGTGCGAGAATGAGTCGCTGGCTGGCTCGTTGTATGGTTGGAGACTGGGTAAGGATTGCTTCCTTCCCATCATCGGCATAACCTTGGATAACCAAGCGCGACTTCTCGTAGGGCTTTTCCGTGGTCTTGCCCTTTACCTCGTTGACGATACGTGATTTGAACACGCGGTCGGTGTGAATGGCAGGGTCGAAGAGGATGAATTCAAATACGCCGTGTTCGATGAGGCTGTCGATTTCGTTCTTCGTTGCCAGCTCGAACGGTGGGCCTGGCGTAGTGATGATGCCCTTGTCGCGTAGTTGCTGAGCGAGCTCTCTGTCAGCTGCCTCTTTCTGCGAAAGGAAGGAGAAAGGGACGTCTGTTTCTTGCAATAGTACGTCGGCATAGAGATGTATGTTTTTATGAGGTCGTCCTCGCGTGCGGCGGGGGGGTTGGGGAGTCGCTATAGAGACTACGTCTCTGGGAGTAGTGGCGACGATAATAGTATCTTCAGTATAACCGCCATCATCATCAGCATCAGTATCGGCGGTCGGTCGGGGAACCGCGTCGCCTGTAGTGGTTTCCCCGTTGTCTTCGTAATACGGCTTCACTGTAGTTGATCGGAATTTTCGCGGGCCGTTGGCGTCAACGGTGCAGTCTTCGTTGTCGACTGCGAGAAGGCGGTGAGGGCCAGACCAGCCTTTGCCCTCGCGCCAGACGCGTACCTGTGAGCCGATCGCGAGGTCCTTCAGCGTAGAGGTATCTGGGCCGTATCGCGCCTCGAGGGCCGCGTTGACCTGCTGTTTCGCGTGGTATCTGCGAAGGTCGTCGCTGGCCTTGCGTACGGCAGCTGCGCGTTTGATGATGTCAGGTGACGGGGCAGAGTCAGCGGTCATTCGTGGGTAGGCGCCAAATACCAAAAGGGTAGGTATAATGCCGTCAGGGCCGGCAGTATCGTTAATGGCCTTTATAGCGCTTTGGAGGGCTGCTTCGCGTGTGATAGATGGGCATTCCTTGCGTATGATTTCGTAGGCGCGTCGGAGTACTGCGTGATATCTCTCGACTTTTCCAATGCTGTGATGTGCCTCTACAGGGACGATCTTGACCTCGACTCCCATTGCATGGGCCTCACGGCGAAATTCAGTCGCGGTGAAGTTACGCCCGGCGTCTGTAGTGATCCAGTCCGGAGGTCCCTGGTAGACGTCAATCCAGCATAGGCGGAGGGCTTCCCATGTGGTCTTGGCCGAAATGTCGTGTAAGAAGCAGGCTGCGTTAAAGGCAGTTGCAGAGTCGATCACATGAAGTACGGGTTGGTCACCGTCGAGATACATGATATCAACTATCACCTCGTAGTTGAATGCGCACTCATCTCGGAGGTTGAACTTGAATCGCGTGGGGCTCTTGCCGTTCATTTGGCACTGGTGGCAGTGCTTGGTTAGTTGCTCGATGGCTCTGATCTCCACGTCGTTGTGGCCAGCCTCGTGAAGAACCTTGTGAAGTCGCTGGACCGATGGGTGACCGAATCGGCGATGAAGTCTTCGTAACTCTACGTCAGTGAGATGGTTGCTCGAAAGGCTACGTTCAGGTGGTCCAAGTAGCATCCATGGATGGCCCCATTTGCGTATGACTGGTATCACAACGTTGCCTTGTTGCATGGTGTTGGCAAGGTTGTTAAAGTGGATGAGCAGACGGTCCATATCAGCAAGGCAGAGAAGGAACGGGGTATTGGTTGGTACCACGTGAAATTCGATGGGTCCGAAAGGTGTGGCCACAGTGACCGTACCCCTCGAAGAGATGGGGTTGCCGTTGCCGAACCGAATACTGGCGTTGCCGGCGGTCGTAGTGTTGATAGTTGCCTCTGGTTGGATTCGTCGAAGGGCAACTGCCTGCGGGTGACCGGCAGTGGAAAAACCAGATGCTCCGGTATCCGGCATGATACCTTGAAAGACTTCCGCAGAGTACCGGTCAAGTGTGAATGCGGCGGCTGCTTCCTTCGTTGCGTGGTCGTATGGGTCAGACTTCGTCAACTGATGATATACTGACTGGTCTGCGAGGTTGGCGGCGACTGCATTGCCGTCAAGGGCTAGGCTGCCGAAGAACGCGGTGCTTGTGAGGAAGGTATTGCCCTGCTCTTCTCCGTGTTTTTCGCCGCTGGCTTGGAGGCATTGGTGGAGGTCCTCATCCTCCTCAGCCTCACTCGTGGGATCGGTTCCTTCATACGCCGTGAGGAAGGCGTTGTAGGCGGTTGACGAGGTATCTCGTACGTCGCGGTTGCTTTTGTATCGCTCATATGCCTTTTGGCGATCTTCAATTGAGTGCTCGGTTGACCAACAGCCGGTTCGTTTGCACACGAAACACTTCCTGCTGCCGCGGCCGCCACTTTTGATATCAGACTCCTTCATGGCCCGGCCGTGGTGGTTGTTGCCGAATCGGTTGTTGCGTCCCTGACCGCGATAGGTGCGGTCGACCCAATGTTGGTCGATACGGTCGGGTTGTTGGGTGAGGTATTGGTTATGCTGTTCGATCCTTATTGCAGTGTTCACTGCCGATCGCAACTGGTTACAGACTCCTTCCAATGTTGGTGAGGGGTTGTATAGGCATAATTGACATTCTTTGATTCCGGAACAAGCATTGAGGAGCTGGGTGCGTAAGACTTCGTCAGAGTGGTAGCTGTCAGGTAGTGCCCGTTGTATGAGGGCGAGCTTCTCGATGAGGTCGTCAAGGACTTGAGTCTTTGATTTGTCAGGGTGTTTCTGCGTAATACGGTCGAAAGTCGTTTCACGCCACTCAGAGAGGTAACCCTGGAGCTTCTCTTCGTTCTCAAAATACCCTTTGACGTTGTCGACCATCGTATCGAAGTCACGGATGCCTCTGCCGCAGAGACGGTTGGCGTAGAAGATAGACGCCTTGCCGCGGAGCATAATCGAGAAGGCAGGAGCCAGCTGGTGCTCCTCAATATCTACCTTGCTGCAGTTGTCGCGGAAGAGGTTCATCTTGAGGTCGAATACGTCATACATCTCACCGCTGT